TGATTAACCAGATGTTCCTTGTCAAAATTATCACAGCTGGGAGAGAAAAAATGTCACTGATAAATATCAAACTGCCAAAAAAAGCAACCACAAGCGCCTAATATATGCTTATATTCTCAGGCAGGGGAAAAAACCCTCCTAGAAACTTTGAACCTTTGTATCTTCTGAAGAAACAATGAAATGCCACTTAACAACACACACACACACACACACAAAATACTACAAGATACAACTTTATCCCAATCAGAAAAGATGTTTCTATAGCGGACTATCTTCAACTTATTTCTGTGGGTGATAATTCAACTAAGCGATGCTGTCGTTCTGGCCAGTAGAATTCTGTATCAATTCATTTTCAGTTCTAATTTAAGATTCTAGTATTAGTCTTTAAAACCCTAAGTGTGGGTCGAGGTTATCAAAACAACCACCTGCACCTATATGAACCTCCCTGAGCTTTTAAGGTGCCTGGCTCCCTGCTTAGAGCTGTGATATTGACAAGCATTAAAGGACAAAGCCTTTTCTGTGGTGACCCCATATCCTTGGAATCATCCCCCCCCCAAAAAGAAAATACACATGGCATCTTCTTTGTTAGTCTTTAGGAGAGACTTGGAGACTTTTGTTGTTGTTGCTCAAGTCTTATTTTGGGTAATTTTATGGTGCTGTACTTTAATTATAGTTTTTACTGCTGCTGCTGCTATTTTAATTTTGTTTCTGCAAGCAGCTTTGAGACCCAGATGAGGTAGTTTTAAAACAAATAAATGATTTGAAGTCTTTAGTATATTGTTATTTATTACTGACTATGTTGTGAGATGCCATTTAAGGAAAGATGACCTTAAAGCTGGGCGAAAAACCCAACAAGGCATGTCTAGCTAGTAAACATGTGAACAAATTTAACAACTGCCATACCCTGACAATTGTAAAAACCTGTGACCTGTGACCTTGTGTCACTGGAGGAACTGTTGCAGAATGAAACTATTGAAAATGAGATTCTAAATTAGTTTATACGAAACACTAGAAGAATCCTTCAGGAGTGACCTACCCAAACCAGGAACCTGTGACTATTGTCCACAGACTTGCCTCTGTGATATCTTGCAACTACAATGGAGTCCTACCCCCTCAGTTCCTGGGTGCCAACAACCTGCTGCTTGAACTGGCTCTTATGGAGCATGCTAGAGCGTGGCAACCAAGAGCAGCTCTCGTTGAGGGGAAACCACTGCCCATCTGGACAATGATGCCTCTACTACAGCTGCCATGTTGACAACACAAAGCAGCAACCCATCACTAAACAAAGCATTGTAATGCACGACAAACACAAAAGAGAACGTCAAATGGAGGCCTAGGCAATTGATCTGCCCCTGCACAAAGTACAATTCCGAAGGGAGAAATAGGCGACACCATCAGTATACACGCACCAAAAGCCAGAAAAGATTCACAAAAGAACAAATGAGATTCTCCTTCAGTTTATGGTAAGGAAGGGTGTAAATGGCACGGTCAGGACAAGGGACTGTCCTGTTGGAGATGAGTGCAAGCTCTGCCACTGCCAACACCATGGGTAGGCAAACTAAGGCCCTGGGGCTGGATCCGGCCCAATCACCTTCTAAATCCAGCCCATGGACGGTCCCAGAATCAGCATGTTTTTACATGAGTAGGATGTGTCCTTTTATTTAAAATGCATCTCTGGGTTATTTGTGGGGCATAGGAATTCATTCATTCCCCCCCCCAAAAAAAAATATAGTCCGGCCCCCCACAAGGTCTGAGGGACAGTAGACCGGCCCCCTGCTGAAAAAGTTTGCTGATCCCTGAACACCCTACTGTTCTCTCCTTCCTGCTGCCCTCTCCTCCTTTTTGCAGTGGCATCCTCATTATTCCATCCCCATTATTCCTCTCCCCTTGCTTTTAACACCCTCCCCCAAATAATAACAGCAGCTCTGCTAGTTATTTTTCTGTTTTCCGAGTGGGTCCTTCCTCAGTGAGGCATTCTGTGTGAAACAGCCTGCAAAGGGCTTGTAACCACCACCACCACCGTTTACTGCAGCAGTAAGAGAAGAGTGCCCCAAATTAAATATAATATTTGAATGTTATTGTGGAGACTGCTGGGAGGAGGAGGAAAAAAGAAGGAATGGGGTTGTTGGCTGCAATGTTGCAGCTGCAGTCTGCTGCAGGAGTGCAACCCCCAATATAGTCATATCTTGGAAGTCGAACACCTTGTGAGTCAAACGTTTTGGCTCCCGAATGCCAAAGTGACTGTTCTGGTTAGCGAACATTCTTTGGAACCCGAATGTCTGTCGTGGCTTCCAATTGGCTGCAGGAACTTCCTGCAGCCAATAGGAAGCCACACCTTGGTTCTCGAATGTTTTGGAAATACAGTCGTGCCTCAGAAGGCGAAGGCTGAAGATTACTATCTAATATGAAAAGGGAATGCAGTATGCTCAACAGGCCTGAGAAAGCCTGCTTGCTTAAGTCCACAGTATGAAAGTCTAGCACTAGGAGCAACAGAATTCACACAGCCTTTCTAAGAGCAGGGGGAAAGGATCGGAAAACGTGTGAGTGTGGCATGTAAAACACAAAACTACTCTGCAAATTTGTGAGAACAGACCAGCAATTTGGAACATGAAAAGCACTGTGATATAGGCTGCCATAGGGCCACCACTACTAATCACCTGCGTGAACGATGTAAATACTAATTCACATTTATCAAAGCAGAGTTACCAAGGAAGCTTATCTAGCTGCAATACCAATAAACAGCATTTTCAATTACTTATGTTGCAGTAAAGCAATAATGTGGGAGACAGTAATACACCATTTCAAGGTTATCGCACCAGGGCTACGCCTCCCATCGTCCCCTTCCAGGTTTGTGAACAACTGTTGACATTTGAGTGCTGAGCAAGGGCACTGTCTAAAAGATTGCAACCATGTGAAAGGCATTGGCTTTTTACCATTACATATTGCAGGTAAAGGTAAAGGGACCCCTGACCATTAAGTCCAGTCTCGGATGACTCTGGGGTTGCGGCGCTCATCTCACTTTACTAGCCGAGGGAGCCGACGTTTGTCCGCAGACAGTTTTTCTGGGTGATGTGGCCAGCATGACTAAGCCACTTCTGACGAAACCAGAGCAGCACACAGAAAAAACAGTTTACCTTCCCGCCACAGTGGTACCTATTTATCTACTTGCACTGGTTTGCTTTCAAACTTCTAGGTTGGCAGGAGCAGGGACGGAGCAACGGGAGCTCACCCCCTCGCGGTGATTCAAACCTCCAACCTTCCGATCAGGCACCACAAAACGAATCCCCCTAAATTCATGGGTTATTTATACCAGATCTAGGCTTTCCCAAAGCAGCACCCATAGGCAGCACCCCCTGGGTGCCCATCAAAGCCCTCTGACCCTTCGGACGAAAAATAAAATGAAATGTTGTCAGTTGCTGCCTACTTTCATTTACCTTGATGAGCAGCAGGCTGGGCTGGCTGGGGAAAAAAAGGAGAAGGCTCCAAGCTGCCCCACCTTCTTCCCAGATAGCCAGCTGCTGTTTCCTTTCTTGGAAAAGAAAGGGTCAAAAGGGGTTGGGGTGGCAAGGAGAGAGGGGAAAAAGAAACCGATATGCTCCACCTTGTATCCTTCCTCCAAATCTCTTCAGATAGGACCCTGCCACTGGGGAATGAATGGGAGGCAGTAGGATGCAAAATGAGTGCTGAGCCGGGGGGGGGGTTCTTTTTGGAGTTTTTCTTTGCGTTTTGCCTCTCTTGCTGAATTCTGGAGTAGGCATGTGGGTCTTGGCCTCTTTTTTTGGTTTTGAAGTTGGGGGGGGTTCCCTGTTTTGGGGGAGGGGGTTGCACTCATTTTCTCTGGGAAGTTATTTGTTCTCTGGGACCAGATAGGCCCTCCAAGCAGTCATCTTGTTGTGGTTGGAAAACTGCCCCGTGCACACCGATTTATGGAGGTGCTCACAACAGTTCTGCCAATTTCCAAACGTGCCCACAGTCCCAAAAAAGACCCACAAAAGAAGAAGCGGAAGGTACACAGAATAGCATGGGAGACATGAAAAGCGTGAACTTGGATGAAGATAGCCATGACTCCTTAGCACGATGCATGGGAGAGAAGCAGAGTTTCCTCTGCTGAGTTTTAAGGGAGCAGGAAGATTTAGATTACAAGAAGGAAAATTTTACGTTCCAGCTCCCCAGTTCCAATGCCAGCCCACATCTGTCTACTTTAAATAATGAGCCTTCAGGGCATAAAATTACCTCTTTTACATAACACTGTAAACTCCTAGGACCGGCTTGTTCCAAAATTAAAAGGTTTTCTCTCTTTCTCTTCTATTTTAAATATTGGAGTATTTCTTCTGTTCTTTCTTCTGCTTTATCTTCAAATATTAAACAAACGTTACTTTAAAAAATATTTCAAGAGGTCTCTCTCTTAAAGACTATCTGACTTTTAGAAGACATCTGAAGGCAGCCCTGTTTAGGGAAGTTTTTAAAGTTTGATTGTTTTATCATATTTTTAATATTCTGTTGGGAGCTGCCCAGAGTGGCTTGGGAAACCCAGCCAGATGGGCAGTGTATAAATAATAAATTATTATTATTACTTTAGGCACCCCAACCAGATCCTGAGTAGACCACAAGGGTCACAGGGTAGCCTACTTAATAGATTCGTTCTGCCTTACTCCAAATGTTCCTCACTGCTTTGTGGAGCAATCTGCTGAACAAACCAGGATACTCCTTCCTTGATCCCTTGGAATTCAGCTTTTAAGAAAGCCCATTGTCCTTCCTTCCACATTTCTATGAAGAGCATTTGGCCACAGGTTCCATATAAACAAAAGAAGAAGGTGGAACTGAGAAATAAAAGTTCTGCTTGCAAAAGTACTTCTCCAAAACAGAATCTGTGGCATTTTGGATATTATATAAGAAGAGGGGAAATGAGTGGTGTGTGAGAGATCAACCAAGTCCCATGGATTTCACAGCTGGCAAATACACACTGCATAAAAACAGAAGAGAATATTATGTTTACTCGCCTTTCCAATTCAATGTCTAAATCAAGACCATCGTGATCTGGGAATTTCCATGTTGGGTGAAGAATCACTGATCCTCTGTCTATAAGCTATCGTCAAAGAATTTCAGTGTTTCACCCAGTCTAGGGTGGCAAGACACAATCCCTTTACAACAGCTAAGTCCTATGTTTAAGGGAAAAGAGAAATAAATATCTGACTGGTCACCTGGTGCGTTGCAGTTATCCCCTCCAGCATGCAGATAATGGTTCATATATAGTGCAAGTCACTGCCAGTCTTAAAACTTTGAAGTTTGTATGAGATCTGGCCCTATCTGTTCTTTTGGCCTATTGATTTTCACATGAAAGAGCCGCTGCTGTTCTCAATCCACTTTTTCCAGAAGCATCACAGAGCTTCTATCATTTGTGGGGGTGGGGGTGGGGTGGGTGGGGATTGGTTTCTAAACTGTGCAAATTTAACCTTGATCTTACCTACAAAGGACAAAACTCCGAAACTTCTAATATTGCAAACCCGATTACTAATCCCCTAGAAAGCTATTACCTGCTTTCTAAGGGAGTCTACTGTGTTGCTGTCTGTAAATGCTATTACAGGCCCTTCTGTCCTCTGAAAGGGAAACATGTATTCCAATCTGTATGATCAGAATACTGCAGATATTTTACAGTTAAATAAAATTGCAAATTGGGCAGTGGCGGGGGGGAATCTTGCATGGACACAATACAATCAAGTTACTTATGCATATAATGCAATACATATCCAAGCACCATAGAAACAAATGTCACAACTGGTAGTATTCATAATTTTCTGTTCTTTCACAATCATAAATCTGATTTAGGAAATCGAGAGGAATTAGGATTGCCAACTGGCCAATGAAACACAGCCTGCCCATGTCTCTTTAAGAGCAACTTGATATGCGTGAATAACATCAAGGCGCAGTTAAAAACACAGCTACGAAGGCTAGTTAAAACTTTGGCAACATTACAAGAGGAAAAAGAAGAGAAGAATAGATTAGGGAAAGCCAGGCAAGGTTGAGAGTCAGGGATAAGGGAATGTAAATAAGCTGGATTATGACTCTGCCTTTTGCCCCTCGGTTGAAGAGCAGGGGCAGCTATTTAATAAATGATATGGATAAGGCAGGAAAAGCTGATTTCTTAAATGATATTGAAGGGGACGTCAGCAAGGGATAGGGATAGCCTTACCAGATTTCTATCCATCATGTAACATTACTTACAATAAATAAATAAAAAACAGGACTAGCAATTTGTTCTGTGTTTGGAATTGCTTAAAAAATAAATAAGTAATATGACACGTGAATGCAACCCACATAAGAAACAACAGGTGCAGTTTTCCCACTTAGCTTCAGAGACTGTTGAGAGCTGATCTCTTTCATCAACTGATGACAAAGGTTAGTATCACTGTATCATAAAAAAACTGTATCAAAATGAACTTAACAAGCATAACACTGCTTTGGTGCTGGCTGGTACCTGTAGATGGCCCCTAGCTACAAGACAGAAAGTCCACCTCTGTCGTGAAAGAAAACTTCTGCAGTTTCCCTTTCACCTGAAACAAGCTTATCATGCACCTTGGAGAAAAGAAGGAAGCTTCTTCCTTTCCACTTCTGGATCTTTAGAGGTGGCAGAGTTTACCAGAGAAAATGAAGCCACATTTTTCTAGGTTGATGGAAATCTACACAGGACTACTTAATTCTAAATGCTGCTGCTCCAACTCCTCAGCATCTTGTTTCCCAGAAGAAGACTACTGAAGTGCAATGCACCCTCAAATCCATTTTGCTTCTTTCCACTCCCTCCAGACCAAATATTTCCATAATGGTCTTGTCTATTTTGGTATTCCCTTTCAGAACATGGCTACCTGCACAATCAGCTTCAGAGTCAATTGCATCTTCCCATCTGAATTACGGGGATTATTAAAAGTTACACTACAGTAATTGCTTCCCTTCTTACTAATGCCAGTGTTACAAATCTACTTATTTGGAATTATGGCGACAACATGAAGATAACCAATGATACCACAACTAACACTGTCTTCTCATTTGCAAATCCAAGGATGCACAGATAGACAATCAAACTTTGCTGCTCAGAAAGGAAGCAAAGTCAATTATTTGATACACTTGGTTAATTTTACAGGCACCATAAACTGTAACCTTATGGAGTGGTGATGGAAAGAAAATGGACAGGAAACGGACGACGGCATAGCACAGGGTTGGTTTCCCCATGTGAGGAGGACAGAAATCCTTCCAAAGGAAGGTTTTTGTCTTCCCCTTTCCAAGGGGAGAGGACAGAAATCCTTTCCAAGTTCTAGACATTTCTAAGTTGGTTCCATCTCCACTGAGTAACACAACTGGTACGGCCTCCGTTGCCGTTCACTCAGGAATGCATGACATTAAAGACCTCCTGGACCATATCTTGGAACAAGTAGTTAAGGAGGCTAAGTTAAGGATTCCTCCCCATATTTAAGAGTGAACACGAGCAACGTGACAGAAGTCACTATCCTGGAACTGATAGTACAGTTGCAGCCTTAAGTATACTAAATGATAAAAGCACTTGAGAAATGGAGGCAAGGCACAATTAGTTCAGCAATTTTAAGTGGGAAAGAGAGAAGTATTCTTAGTTTAAATGAAATCCATGTAACTTACCTTTGGCACAATTCAGGATCCAGACACAGAAAGTTAAGACTCTTGAGCAAAGTTACGCTTGCGAGAAGGTTCTGAAACAAACGAAAACACCCTTTTAATTAGGACGTTAAAGACAACACATGCTTTTAATCATTCTACTTTACTTGGTGCATGTGTTAATTTTAAATTAATGTAAACCAAAATGTAGATACGATTTCCATTTTCACAAGAAAAAAATTACACAGAAGAAATGTTAGGGAACTGTAGCCGGTTGAACTCAAGCAAACTTTATTGAGTGGTCAGCCTTTGACCAAAGTATGGCTTTGATCAAATACTATGGCAAAACCACACACAAACACACACACACACACAAACACACACACACACACACACACACACACACACACACACACACAGTTAGTCCCATTTAGTCTCAGGTAACTACATTTGCTCACATTCATGCCATAATATCCACTGTCTCACTTTCTCCTCTTTCACTACAGCTGGGAGCAGCCTTTGCAGCAGCAGACCAGATTCAGAACCCATCAATACTGTAGACATATTGGATGGTATCCAAAGATGGCATTGCCATCATAGAAGCAGTTACTGATCCATGCTTTTCTGAGCTCTCCACGTCCTCACTACCCCCCTCCCTGAGTGGGGGGGGGAGAGTCATGGGCCACTGGAACAGAGTAAGATTTTGTGTAGCAGGTTGCAGTAAGCAAATCAAAAACAAAACCAGGTGCCCAACTATTACTATTACAGTGGAACGTTGGTTGTCGAATGTAATCCATTCTGGTAGACCATTCGACTTCCGAAATGTTTGACAACCAAGGATCAATGGACTGTCGGCAAATCTCATTGAAAAAGAGAGAGAAACGCGCCTCGGAAGCCGTTTGACATCTGAGGCACGTTCGAAAATGGAAGCAGTTGCTTCTGGGTTGTTGGCGTTCGGCTTCCGAAACGTTCGGCAGCTGAGACATTCAACAACCAAAGATTGACTGTAATTCTATTTTTTACACACACACACACACACACACACACACATCCCTTCACCATGAGGTCCCATGGCAGGTTACAGCAATGTAAAAAAATATGTATTAAAATCAGTTAAAAAAGAATTACAGTCAAGAAACTAGGGTGGATGCTAAACCATATACCTCAGGTGCCAAAGGAAAGAGTAAGGAATTGTGTCTTCAGTATACAACTAAAGCGATACCATTGAAGTGCCGGGTGCACCTCTGTGGTGAGGGAATTCCATAGCTGAAGGGTCTTTTGAGCCACCACTGCCATAATTTCCAAGGGCAGTAGTGCTACCAATAGGACCCCACCCCCCTGCACATCATAACACTGTAGAAGAGGTGGTCTTTCAGACTGCTGTTAAAAGTTTTAGTTGAAAAACACCTAAGAATCAGTTACTGATTGCAACCCAAATGCTTTTCCTAAAAAAGGGAAAATATTAGAGGGACACAGCTAATCTTCCTCCACCCCCAGGTCAGGTTAATCTTAAGGTACTGCAAGCATATTATTGTGTATATGAAAACAGTCCATATTTTATAATTAAAGCAATGGACTCTTAAATTAAGGCCATGGCTGATACGTAGCTTTGTGGGGAGCTGGTAAAAGAGAAAACTTCCCCTTCGTAGTACTTCATTCATTATACCACCAAAACAAAGAAGCAACTATACTAATTGAATGTAAAAGGACCAGACAGGAAGGATGAAAGAAACTGACAGCTTGTGGGAATGAGAGTAAGATACATGGAGAATGGGAGAGAAATTATAGGAGATGGGTAAAAATATATTGAGAGACATGTTGGGGTGAGAAGGAAAAGAGTTAAATGAAAACATCTCCTTGCAGTATACTTAAGGAAAGCCAAGTTATAGAACTCCCTGTCAAAAGGGAAATGCTTTGGTGAAGAATTTAGCAATTTCTAAAGATGGATTAAGAGATCAGTTTAAAAAATGCTAAACACTGCTCCATCTACCACCAATTTTTGAATGGCTCTGCCACTGCACCACCATTTTGTGACTAGTGGACCTCAGCAATTTTCAGCTGCCTTAAGCAGACCCTGAGGATAGGTTTTAAAACTTTCTGCACCTGACCTCTTCATGATCAAACGTAACAATAAAAACTGTAAAAAGGGTTAAAGAAATTGGAAAGCATGTCAAAATTTCTTTTAAGTATTAGGAGGTGCTCTACAAAACGCACATAAGCTAAAACAGTAATATACCTGAAATGATGCATTTGCTCTAAAAAACAAACATTGCTGTGATGAATGTTAAGTTGAACATTACAGGTACATTTGGGATATTATTTCAACCATGATAGCTTTTGCAGTTAAAATGCACTATTGCATTCAAAGGGAAGAAGATACTAAAACTCATGCTACATCTTTTTTCCCATGATCCTAACAAAAAGGAGATGCGTACTCAAATAATCAGCTATCTTCCAAGGGAAAAGACCACATAGTTGTCCCAAAACAGCACTGAGAAAGTGTATATAGAGTATTAGAGCATTTCAGATCCTACGTAAGTCTACTCGGAAGTAAGCCTCGTTGTTCAGTGTAAATTACTCCTGGGTAAGTACATATAGGATTGCAGCCTGAAAAACACAGTGGACGTTGCAGAAGCACTACAGATTCACTAAGAAGGAGAAGTCATTCTCCCGTATTATTCAGGTCTAGCCAAAGATCAAGCAAAAAAAGGTTTAAGCTTGAATTGGTGTAGCTTAAGAAACATAAGAATGATTAAAAAACCAGGAGCTGATCATAAAGAATACTAAGCAAGTTTAACAATGTGATTCTTTATGCTGACGCAGTCAACAATAACTTATCATACCCTAAAAATAAACACAACAGGGTTAAAAATCCAGCAGCAATATAGACTGTGGCTTGATTAAAAAGCAAACTTACCCCTATTGTTGGACTTCCAAGTCTCCCTCCTTTTTATATTTTGCTATATTGTATTTTGATTGTTGACTGTACTACTGTGTCAAAGACTAATGACAGAATGCTATAAATTGCTAAACAATATGCTGTTGCAGACTTGTCAATCTAATGGCACCTTCAGAGCTATATGAATACAATATCTGAGCACGAATCCAATCATGTCGTTTCTGCTTTTAAAACTCAAATAGAGAGTCCTGCAGGATTAGATGTGGAAATCATTCAAAAATATGGATTAGTTTCATAAATAGTTCCAACTCTGACACAAACCCTGAGCTACATCCTGGTCTGCTCTCAACGTGGGAGGAAAGGAACATATTCTGTTCCAGCAAGAACGAGCCTAGCGGCTGCCTAAGCTCTCTTTGGTCCAAGCCCCATTAGCATGGGGTAAAAATCTGTCTCACATGATTAATTATAATTTTAAAATGCATATGTATACAGAAAGAGAGAGAGAAAACAGCAACACAATCCTAACTGCGCCTACTCAGAAGTCCTATTGGATTCAGTAGGGCTTACTCCCAGATTAAGTAGGGTTAGGATTTTCATTGTATAAAAACAATACAATAGTACCTTGGGTTAAGAACTTAATTTCTGGAGGTCCGTTCTTAACCCGAAACTGTTCTTAACCTGAGGTACCACTTTAGCTAATGGGGCCTCCTGCTGCCGCAGCGCAATTTCTGTTCTCATCCTGAAGCAAAATTCTTAACCCGAGGTACTATTTCTGGGTTAGCAGAGTCTGTAACCTGAGGTACCAGTACGCTATAATCATAACAAAGGTTACTAAAATTTGCTTACAAAACAGAATATTTTGTAAATTCTGCACCGGGATAGCTGATGTTGTGGATTATAACACTCATTAATCCCAGCCTCCATTGCTAATGGTCAGGGAGGAGAGTTGTTCTGGAGGGCACCATATTGGCTATTCCTGTTATCTACTATCTATTTTGGAAAGTGGTTTGTCTGTTTGTTCTTCATAGGTTCAGCCGCCTACCCAGACATTGTCGCCAAACTTGTGGGGGGTGGGGAGGGGTCAATGTTTGAGTGCCAGGCACCATTATGAATCAAGACGATGCACTAAAAGGTGACTTTGGTGTGACGGTGCCACTTTATTGACATAGGTTTCTCCACCTCTAAAGATAACATTGCCAAACTCTGTGAAGACACTCCCCAAGGAGGGGGAAGCAGACTTCATTGCCATTGGTATGCTGGGTGCCATTTTGAATCAAGATTTCGAACCAAAAAGTGACTCTGGCATGATGGGTCTAAATTACACAATCCATTTAAAAAACACAGTATTTGGTGGGTTCTTTAAAAATCCCAGGCAGTGCTGGGCACTTCCTGTTAATATATCTTACATTCATGACATTAATGAGAAGAACCCAATATTTTTCACAACTTTGACCTGTCTATCCATCCTTATCCGCACATACTCCTCTGAATATTTTGCAATTTGAGAAACCTTCCAAACATACATTTGGATGCCACTGATTTTCATTAAGCATGCCAGAATTTACTACGGTTAAAAGATTCCATGCTTGGTCATAATGCTCTTGAGTGAGCAATTGATTAAAGAATACATGCCTAATATTAATGGAAAGCTGGGGGTGCTGTTAGTATCCTCCCATAAAGAAAACTCTTATCTTGGAACAATCCTACCAAATATATAAAATCTGCCTTTAGTTAGAGATTATATATAGCATTTATGCTGTTGGAGCCTGTGTATCTGGTTTTATATGGTACTGAATACCAGCAATATAAAATTTTATACGACTTTTCTTTCACATTAAAACATTATCAAGGCGATAATGCCAGTCCTTTTGTAAAGATTTCCTACCAGCTAATTTCTGCAGAGGCTATATTGATTCATAGAGAAGTCCTTATTAGTTAGTATACTTTAATAAAATTGTAAACCCAGACTTCCTTTAGTTAACAGACTTATACATTTAATTCTTGAATGTCACATAGAGCCTAATTGATTCTGATGCTCAGTAAGAGTCTAGCCTACAAAACGAATGTTATAACCTAGATTGCTCACAGGAAAATCCTTCCACAAAGGATACCAAGATAAAATTAAGTTAGCTAGCTATGGTCACACCTTTCCTTCAAACCTTTTCAGAAAGCTTATTTCCATTTCCGTTCTCTTTC